ATGTCAAAAAGAAGACGAACAGTATGAAGTTCAAAGGTTTTGAACACTCGTTCCACCAACTATACCACTTTCAATAAATCGTGACGCCATTTTGTTTTAACACGCATACGGTATATTACTCTCATAATAGATTCCCATAGGGGGGGATACTCACCCATGCGTCCGTACTTTGGTTCGTGCAGGGAGGTGGTGTGGGGATTGGGGAGGAGGGGGTGTAGTTTATACTTATCCAGTCAGTGCTGGTGTGAATGCTACCGTTGACATTGTGTCATTGCTTTCCTATGTCTCTGTGCTTTCCTGTGTCTCGCTGTCTCCATGTCGCTGTGCTTTCCTGTGTCTGTGTGTCTGTGTGTGTGTAGGATCCGGATGAGTTCTTTCATGGTCAGCGTGGTTTTGTACACGAAAGCCATCAGTGTATGAAGGATGTCAATGTGGTATGTAGAAACACTGTAGTCTTGCTAGGATGTCAATGTGGTATGTAGAAACACTGTGTTATCATGCCTTTTTATGATAATGGGGTATGTAAGAGCATTGTGGCCCTGCCTTGTTATGGGAAATGGGAATTTATTCCCGTAGCTATGCAGAAGACGTTACTTCAGTAACGTCTGGCGCTAGCCAGGATCCACACAGCTTTAATTTGGTATTTGTTTGTGTGTTTGTGTCACGCCTGGCGCTATCCCGTATCTGTCCCGTACCGTACCATCAAACACAGCTGGCCACATACAGCTGGCCGCAATATTCAAATAGGGCTTTCAAACGCAAGATCATAACGTGAAGCAACTTGGAAGAATGAGTATGAATGCGAAGTGTATGGGGAATGCATGTGGGGTGATAGTGCGGGTTCGAATCCCAGGTAATGCCTGAAAAAAATAGGAGAATTGAAAAATTTATAACATCCCTTTTCTTTTTTTGCCGTCATCAAGGCGGTAGACGGTGTCGTATTACCCTCGACCGTACCTGTCCCGTACCTGTCCCGTACCTATCCCGTACCGTACAATCGAAGACGGCTGGCCACAATGCATATTCAAATAGGGCTTTCAAATACAAGATCATAACGTGAAGCAACTTGGAAGAATTAGTATGTATGCGAAGTGTATCGGGGGATGCATGCAGGGCGATAGTGCGGGTTCGAATCCCAGGTTATGTCCAAAAACAAAAAGTAGAAACTTATAAGAATTTATAACATCCCTATGCTTTTTTTGTCTAGGTCATCAAGGCAAAAAAAGCATAGCGTAGGGCCGTGAGCGTCCAAGCTCTCTCGTTTTCCAATCAACCTGGTGGATATTCTACGACTTTCTAAATACGAAAAAGATGGATTCACTGGCCAGGAAAAACCATGATAATTATATCTTCAATGTAACGCTGACTGTGTTTGTCTGTGTTTATGTTTTTGTGCACGTGTGTGTGTGTCTTTCTTTCTGTCTGTCTGTCTGTCTGTCTGTCTGTCTGTCTGTCTGTCTGTTTGTTTGTGTCTGCGTACATGCAGGTGTTTCATCAACAGCTTGTCGCCCAAAGACGTAAGCATTGCTCCTTTTTTTTTTCTCTAAACCGCACTCTTTTTTTAATTTTGTCTACACATCAGTTGTTATCAGCTGTACATGTAGAATGTTAAAGCACTGATCAGCACACCTTATCCATGTACATGTACTGTACACACGTTGCAAGAGAAGCACACAAATCTGCCAATGCACTGTATGTACACCTGAGAAGCTTGAAGAGCTTGCAGAACAGAACGCTGTATATCCATTCCGTCACTTTTCAGATAATGGCCAAAAAGCAATTCATTTTATGCGTGATTTCTAACAAAACCCACTTTTGGGATTTTGCCGACAGTTTTGAAATGATACTAGTCCGATTTCGAATGTGAAATTTTGCTTGAAGGTGCCCCTAGGCCTTTTGATCACACTGATCTCAAAATCTCAACCTCTCAAATTTTTGCACCTACAGCGTTTTTCAATCAAACGCTTCACATCTAGAAGACTGTAAAGTTATATATGGTAGTGTGTGGTGCACTACTGAGCCGAGAGATACATGCATGTACACAGACTGATGTTCTCTTAGTCTTGTAGCAACAATAGAGCGTAAGATCTGAATGAAACTGATCGCGGCTTGCATTGCGCACCACATTTCAGTACTGGCGATGCCATGTACACATGCGTACGAGCCAAGCTAATGCTCCACTGCCAAGCTAATGCTCCACTGTCAAGCTAATGCCGCACTCTCAAAATGTAGGTCAGCTGCAATTTGTGTGTTTATGTGTGTGTGTGCACGCATGTGTGTGTGTGTGCACGCATGTGTGTGTGTGTGTGTGTGTGTGTGTGTGTGTGTGTCCATGTGCAGAGTTTGCAATGTCACTGGGTGCATTTGCAAGCAACATAACCAAGGCTGGCAGCTCTGCATGTTCATCTATAGAAAGCCACACAAAGTGAGTGCATGTAGTTAGGTTGTTGACTTGTCCCCCCCCCCCCCCCCTTGTTGTGCCCCCCCCCCTTGTTGTGCCCCCCCCCCCCTTGTTGTGATACTGCTGCTCCTGTTACTGCTGCTGCTGCTGTTACTGCTGCTGCTCCTGTTACTGCTGCTCCTGTTACTGCTGCTCCTGTTACTGCTGCTCCTGTTACTGCTGCTCCTGTTACTGCTGCTCCTGTTGCTGCTGCTACTGTTGCTGCTGCTCCTGTTACTGCTGCTCCTGTTACTGCTGCTCCTGTTACTGCTGCTCCTGTTACTGCTGCTCCTGTTACTGCTGCTCCTGTTGCTGCTGCTCCTGTTACTGCTGCTCCTGTTACTGCTGCTCCTGTTACTGCTGCTCCTGTTACTGCTGCTCCTGTTACTGCTGCTCCTGTTGCTGCTGCTACTGTTGCTGCTGCTCCTGTTACTGCTGCTCCTGTTACTGCTGCTCCTGTTACTGCTGCTCCTGTTACTGCTGCTCCTGTTACTGCTGCTCCTGTTACTGCTGCTCCTGTTGCTGCTGCTCCTGTTACTGCTGCTCCTGTTACTGCTGCTCCTGTTGCTGCTGCTCCTGTTGCTGCTGCTCCTGTTGCTGCTGCTCCTGTTGCTGCTGCTCCTGTTGCTGCTGCTCCTGTTACTGCTGCTCCTGTTACTGCTGCTCCTGTTACTGCTGCTCCTGTTACTGCTGCCATTGCTGTTACTGCTGCTGCTCTTGTTACTGCTGCCATTGCTGTTACTGCTGCTGCTCCTGTTACTGCTGCCATTGCTGTTACTGCTGCTGCTCCTGTTACTGCTGCTCCTGTTACTCCTGCCATTGCTGTTACTGCTGCTGCTCCTGTTACTGCTGCTCCTGTTGCTGCTGCTCCTGTTACTGCTGCCATTGCTGTTGCTGCTGCTGCTCCTGTTACTGCTGCCATTGCTGTTACTGCTGCTGCTCCTGTTACTGCTGCTGCTCCTGTTACTGCTGCTGCTCCTGTTACTGCTGCTGCTCCTGTTACTGCTGCTGCTCCTGTTACTGCTGCTGCTCCTGTTACTGCTGCTGCTCCTGTTACTGCTGCTGCTCCTGTTACTGCTGCCATTGCTGTTACTGCTCCTGCTCCTGTTACTGCTGCTATTGCTGTTACTGCTGCTATTGCTGTTACTGCTGCTATTGCTGTTGCTGCTGCTGCTCCTGTTACTGCTGCTGCTCCTGTTACTGCTGCTGCTCCTGTTACTGCTCCTGCTCCTGTTACTGCTCCTGCTCCTGTTACTGCTGCTATTGCTGTTACTGCTGCTATTGCTGTTACTGCTGCTATTGCTGTTACTGCTGCTATTGCTGTTGCTGCTCCTGTTACTGCTGCTGCTCCTGTTACTGCTGCTATTGCTGTCACTGCTGCTATTGCTGTTACTGCTGCTATTGCTGTTACTGCTGCTATTGCTGTTACTGCTGCTATTGCTGTTGCTCCTGCTGCTCCTGTTACTGCTGCTGCTCCTGTTACTGCTGCTGCTTCTGTTACTGCTGCTGCTCCTGTTACTGCTGCTGCTCCTGCTGCTGCTCCTGTTACTGCTGCTATTGCTGTTACTGCTGCTGCTATTGCTGTTGCTGCCATTGCTGTTACTGCTGCTATTGCTGTTGCTGCTATTGCTGTTGCTGCTATTGCTGTTGCTGCTATTGCTGTTGCTGCCATTGCTGCTGCTCCTGTTACTGCTCCTGCTCCTGTTACTGCTGCTATTGCTGTTACTGCTGCTATTGCTGTTACTGCTGCTATTGCTGTTGCTGCTGCTATTGCTGTTACTGCTGCTATTGCTGTTACTGCTGCTATTGCTGTTGCTGCTGCTGCTCCTGTTACTGCTGCTGCTCCTGTTACTGCTGCTGCTCCTGTTACTGCTGCTGCTCCTGTTACTGCTGCTGCTCCTGTTACTGCTGCTGCTCCTGTTACTGCTGCTGCTCCTGTTACTGCTGCTATTGCTGTTACTGCTGCTATTGCTGTTACTGCTGCTTTTGCTGTTACTGCTGCTATTGCTGTTACTGCTGCTATTGCTGTTACTGCTGCTGCTCCTGTTACTGCTGCTGCTCCTGTTACTGCTGCTGCTCCTGTTACTGCTGCTGCTCCTGTTACTGCTGCTGCTCCTTTTACTGCTGCTATTGCTGTTACTGCTGCTATTGCTGTTACTGCTGCTATTGCTGTTACTGCTGATATTAGAGAGGTTCTGCACAACGAAAATTCGAACGAAGTTTCGCGACAGGCCTTGCGAAAATGTGTACGAAGAAGTCGCACGAACTTTGTGTTCTGCACATTTTCGTAGTTTGCACTCGCCAAGTGCACGTACGACATGACCCAATCTCACGAAACTTCCTACGAAAGTTCATTTCGCGTTCCCTGCAAGTTTCGCGTCCAAAGTTGCGAAAGTTCGTGCGAAGTTTCTCACTTCGTGACGTAGAGCGAAAGTTCGTACACATTTTCGTTCTGCAGAACCTCTCTATTGCTGTTACTGCTGCTATTGCTGTTACTGCTGCTTTTGCTGTTACTGCTGCTATTGCTGTTGCTGCTGCTGCTCCTGTTACTGCTGCTGCTCCTGTTACTGCTGCTGCTCCTGTTACTGCTGCTGCTCCTGCTGCTGCTCCTGTTACTGCTGCTATTGCTGTTGCTGCTATTGCTGTTGCTGCTATTGCTGTTGCTGCTATTGCTGTTGCTGCTATTGCTGTTGCTGCCATTGCTGTTACTGCTGCTATTGCTGTTACTGCCATTGCTGTTGCTGCCATTGCTGCTGCTCCTGTTACTGCTGCTATTGCTGCTGCTCCTGTTACTGCTGCTATTGCTGTTGCTGCCATTGCTGCTGCTCCTGTTACTGCTGCTATTGCTGCTGTTGCTGCTGCTACTGTTGCTGCTGCTGCCATTGCTGAGGCTGTTGCCATTGCTATTGCTGCTATTGCTGCTGCTGTTGCTGCTATTGTAACTTTCAATGTTGTTCTGTTAGTAATGCTGATGGTGTCGATGCCATGGCCATATTTGTGTCGCTGGGTTGTGTTGCTCCCCCGCTGATCCTGTGTATGCGCGTGTGTGGTGCCTATTTGTTGTTCTTTTTCAGGCTCATGACACGTTTTGGTCAGGTTATGGATCAATGCCAGGTGAGCCTCATCTCTCCCAGTTCCTTCTCTCTCTCTCTCTCTCTCTCAGTCTCTCTCTCTGTCTCTCTCTCTCTCTCTGTCTCTCTCTCTCTGTCTCTCTCTCCCCTCTCTCTCTCTCTCTCTCTCTCTCTCTCTCTCTCTCTCTCTCTCTCTCTCTCTCTCTCTCTCTCTCTCTCTCTCTCTCTCTGTCTCTCTCTCCCTCTCTGTCTGTCTCTCTCTCTCTCTCTCTCTCTCTCTCTCTCTCTCTTTCTCTCTCCTAATGAAGTAATTCATTGCATTCCCAACTCATCACAACCACGCGCTCTTCAGCCGAACCATACAGACACCAGCAAGGACACTTCCGTTGAGAGATAATATTGCTCCACGCCTCTAGACAGCTGTTTCGCTCCCTGTCGGAGCTCATCAGTAGAGGATGATAATGATGATAATGGAGGAATGATCATTCTTATACACCAGAAATGGCGCAAGTGCGCGCTTTCCACATAATATCAATGGCATATGCAAGCTGCTAAAATGGTAAAGTGTGAGAACAGCGATAAATAATCATAGTACGCGCTCATTGGTGGAGAAACACACCACACAAGCGACGAAAATCTGGGAGCGAAACAGCTGTCTAGAGGCGTGGAGCAATATTATCTCTCAACGGAAGTGTCCTTGCTGGTGTCTGTATGGTTCGGCTGAAGAGCGCGTGGTTGTGATGAGTTGGGAATGCAATGAATTGAAAATATGGCCGAAAGCTCTGTCGCAATATTTAGTTCTGAAGTTTTAATGCGCCGTTAGTGGCAGAGCAGAGTGGACACGAAGAGTCGGTGAAGAAAGAAGGAGAGATGACAAGACGAGTCGGTGAAGAAGGAAGGAGGAAAGCAAGACACATCTGCAACATCTTTGATCAAACTGAGCTGAGCTGCTGATACGAAGCGTCGACCAAGCATCCCTGACTGGAGTGTATGCCCCAGCTGACCTCTCGTTTGTCAGTGGTTGCTACTAGACCTGTTAGTATCACACTCACGACTACAAGTTGCCTGGTGTGCATCGACATCGGCATCAGTGGGGCCTCCCGCTGTCGATCCTGTTGACGGGCGGACAGGTCGGTGTGAATCCTGAACGGCAACCGAGCCTGTCGCGTTGGGGGATCTCGGCGGTGAGTCTCGCCTCGCCTGCATACATGGACATTAAAACATCATAATAATAAACAACATACATGTACTTTCCATTGGCATCAGTATTCCGAGTAAGATTTTCGTCGCTTGTGTGGTGTGTTTCTCCACCAATGAGCGCGTACTATGATTATTTATCGCTGTTCTCACACTTTACCATTTTAGCAGCTTGCATATGCCATTGATATTATGTGGAAAGCGCGCACTTGCGCCATTTCTGGTGTATAAGAATGATCATTCCTCCATTATCATCATTATCATCCTCTACTGATGAGCTCCGACAGGGAGCGAAACAGCTGTCTAGAGGCGTGGAGCAATATTATCTCTCAACGGAAGTGTCCTTGCTGGTGTCTGTATGGTTCGGCTGAAGAGCGCGTGGTTGTGATGAGTTGGGAATGCAATGAATTGAAAATATGGCCGAAAGCTCTGTCGCAATATTTAGTAATGAAGTAGTGATTGATTTTTTTCTCTTTCGACCATTGTCCAGTTTATAGTCTAATATAGAGCTGACTATCGGGTAAACCATGAAAATGGTTTTGATATAATTATGAGCTTACAAGTACGAGTTGAATTTTGTATATTATAGCATTGTCCAAGTGTGTTTGTGTACTTCAATGTGTGTATACTTGTCTGTGTGGGTCTGTATGTTTTGTGTGTGTTCATGTACGTGTATGTGTATATGTGTGTGTCTGTGTGTCTGTGTGTGGGTCTGTGTCCCATATGGTGCAGTGGTATGTGCAGCGATTTCCAATCGATAGGTTGCGGGTTCGATTCCCGACGATTATGGTCACACACGTCTTTCTTCTCTTTCTCAGACTCTTCCTGACTTTTCTTTCATTCTCCTGGGTGGTTACCAACAGCCAGTGCATACCGGAGTATGTGGTGTGATGTGTGTGTGTAGAAAAAAATAAAAAGACCAAAAAGTAGGGATTCACTGGCCAGAAAAAGCCACTTCATAGCTGTGTGGTGTAGACCAGGCTGAATAGTGGCGGTCAATTCTTCAGCCTTGCAAGCCGTTGAATGGTGCAATCCCAGCACAAGTTGCTATGGCTTCTGCTGTAGCATCGCTATCATCGCCTCCGGCGATGGGCGTCCAATGGTCCAATGGTGTGTGGGTCTGTGTGTGTCTATGTGGTTCTGTGTGTGTCTATGTGGTTCTGCAGCAATCTGAGAACACGTTAGCTACGAGCAGTGAGAATTCGTTCGCCTTCACCTTCTGTGTGTTTGAGAAGTACCTCGAGTCAAGCAAGGTAAGTGCCACATCTCTCATCTCTCTGCCTGGTGCTGGGCTGTGCATGGGTTGTGCATGGGTTGTGTTGGGTTGTGTTGGGTTGTGCATGGGTTGGGTTGCGCATGGGTTGTGCATAGGTTGTGCATGCACACTGACACTAATGCTGATGTTGCCACTGGGAGATACGGTCTGCTGCTTGTTTTCTTCCGTTCGCTCTCTGTCTCTATCTCTATCAGATTCTATCTATCCATCTATCTATCTGTCTATCTAGCTATATCTGAATTGAGCTGATCCGGAGAGTACCTGTTTGTGTGTGTGTACATGTGCATGCATGTGTGTCTGTGTGTCTGTGTCTGTGTGTGTGTCTGGTTTGTTTTGTGTGCCATTATCTGTATTGACTTGATCCACTGGGCGTGGGGTGACCACACAGGACATGTTAAATCGTCGTCTACGCCTACTAACCGAGAGTGAAGCAGCAGCCGCCGCTGCCGTCAAGGCCAAGGCATCCAACAAGGCCAAGGTCAGTCCTGTCTTAATACTACTTATATACAATGTACCCAATGCTGTAGACAGCAAGCTGTTTCGGCCATAAAGGCCTCATCAGTACAGCTACGAAGATAGCTCGTCGCTCTTGCACCAGAGTGCTCAAACTACGAAAGGTAGCGGGCAATGCGTGATGCAGCAGCACTAGAGCAGCCTCCAATGTACTGTATGTATGTATGTACTGTATGGATCAGGCGTGTGTGCACTAGAACTCTAACACACGCACACACCTTTGAGCTTTTTGACGCCCATCGCCGGAGGCGATGATACCTATGCTACAGCAGAAGCCATCACAACTCTGTGCTGGGATTGCACCGTTCAACAGCTTGCAAGGCTGAAGAATTGACTGCCACTTTTCAGCCTGGTCTACACCACACAGCTATAAAGAATGTCCGAACCGCACAACGCATCGCATGTCGCATGGCCAAAGTTGAGCCGACTGCAATCAGCCTGTTGTGACAGTTGCACGAGTTGCACAGTGGGTACGGTTTGGGGGGTTTCCCCAGTCTCTCAGCTGTCGCAGCGCACACCGCATCACAAAAATACTCAGTACGTCAACCCCGTTCTAGTACAGCACTGCTCAATGAAATCCAGTCACAGCGTCACTCAAGTACATGCCGGGCGTTGTGCAGCCCGAGACCTGCGAACACTGGGCTGCGAAATGGTGCAAGGCGCAAACTTGAGTGACACGACTGGATTCATTGAGCAGCACTGTAGTACATTGTTTTCTGCTGCTACTGCTGGTGCTGTTGCTGGTGGTGCTGCTGTTGCTGCTGCTGGTGGTGCTGCTGTTGCTGCTGCTGGTGGTGCTGCTGCTGCTGCTGTTGCTGTTGGTGGTGCTGCTGTTGCTGCTGCTGGTGGTGCTGCTGCTGCTGTTGCTGCTGCTGGTGGTGCTGCTGTTGCTGCTGCTGGTGGTGCTGCTGTTGCTGCTGCTGCTGTTGCTGCTGCTGCTGGTGGTGTTGGTGGTGCTGGTGTTTTCAGGCGGATGCGGCACGTGAAGACGCCGTTCAGAAGTTTGAGGAGATTTCGCGGCTCGGCCGCACGGAGTTGTCGCTATTTCATCAGTTACGTGTTCACTCTCTCCAGACAGCGCTGGTCACGTACTGTCAGAATCAGATCTCCACCGGTCGCGATACCTACGCCATGTTGGCAAGAAGTCTCTCGGAGCTGCGTCAGATTGACGATGAGTGAAACGCTCGGCCCGTGCCAGCCCTCCCGGTACTCACGTATGTGTGTGCGTATACGTGTGTGCATATGCATGCATGTGTACGTGTCTGAATATACGTGTGTGCGCGTGTTGGCATGCGCACGTCACGACTTGTGAAATATAGTAATGATAATGATCGCCATCATCATCATCATCATTGTGAGTCAGCTCCCAGAGTGGTTGCCACTGGCAACTGTTGCAGTCGCCGCTCCCGCGCGGTTACCATGGCTGCTGTCATTGCTATGGTAAACACGGCTGCCACCCTCCGTCGCTGTTACTGTAAATGCTCCTGTTCATAAGCATAGTGTGCCGCTGCACATGCTGACGGGTATCTTAGTTTCTTGTAATTTCTTGTAATTTCTTTTCTTGCCGTTTCTTTTATTGCATTCTCCTGTGGGCCATGCAACCCACAATAACTACAGTTTCATTTGAACGCACGCCTACACACGCCTACGCACACACGGTACGCATGCGTGCCAGTGATTATTTCGTGTTGCGTTGTTGCGTTGATCTTCGCTGTATACAGCGTGTCAGTTGTAATGCCCCACTAGCTCTGTTGATTTAATCTTTCTGTACGGTAGAGATCAAGTTGGAAGCTAGCTAAAACGTGCTTCCTATCGATCACTATCATCAGTTCGAGCTCCTCTGTTAACCCCCGGGCCTTGCCTCAGGACAGGGTGGTTCTCGGATGCCTTACACCTGTACTTTCCTTGTTATCCTCTCGCCTTGCCGCCGTGCCGTTACACCACAGTAGTCTACTCTCACTTTAGCTATTCCTCTCCGTCTCTCTCCAGATTATTTTTTTCCACGATTACAAGTACAATGTACATGGTGCTCTATTGCTGCATCCTAGCAATTCCCCATGTGTGCATGTGCACACACACACACACACACACACACACACACACACACACACACACACACACATCTGTGTTGACTAGTGGCATTGCAACTGACCTCTAAGCTAACATAGTCATTACTGATCGCAATCGTATCGTTGTAGCGTAAGAATCGGAAATCTGTGAATTTCCTCCGGACAATATTTTCCACTTATATTTTTGATTATTGGTATTATTGAGTATTTGGCATGTTCTCTGACTTGTAAGCCCCTCTTCTTCTAGCCACCTTCTAGCCTTCTATGTTTCTAGCGTTATTGTTGAGCAGTAACAGAAGTTGATACTGTAAATCCTTGTCTTCATG